GTACACAGCAAGTATGAAAATCGTGTCTGCCCATTTCGGACGCATTTCATCCAGGCATGTGCGCGTTCTGCACCTGCCCAAGCAGAGCTGGAAAACAACAAATTTTCATCAGGATCCACGTTGCACCAGTTTGGAGCGTGGAAGTTTCTCCAGCACATGTCAGCCTTGCGAGGCTTTTGCGGAGCTCGGCGTGCTCGTTTTGCAGGAGCTTCAGCTTTGGCCGTAATCCTTCAATTGAATCTTTCACTCACGTTTACTTGCAAGCGCTACACGTGCACAGTTTTTGTGTTTCGCTCTCTTCTCTTTCTCTCAACATGCTTTTCTTTGATGTGTTATTTCCTGAAGTCCGAAGTAGCGCATTGGAAAACTACGCGCTGTCGCCCGCAAAGACGCTCCGACACTGCAGGGGCATATGGAAGATGATATGACGATGCGGTGGATACCCCGAAGTCCACCGCTGAGGATGCTACATTTCCTGGGTGGGTTGCGGCCGTCCGCAGTAGAGCATAGTAGAGCATTGAAAAACTTTGTTGTGTCGCCGCCGGGTGGGGCATCCCAGATCCCGGGGATTCATACCCCAGCGCTCCGGACACTCAATAAGGAACAAAAAGAGGTTGGCCAATATGCCAGGTGGCAGCTGCCAAAGCTCCACATTGATGGGGGAAAAGCGTGGCCATGATTTGCACGTCATCTGGGAACAGCAAGACGCGGCAGGCCCTGCAAGGGATGCGCACAAACGTGTTTTTGGAGCTGGACCTCGCCCTGGCAGCAGTCAAGAAGCCCAACCCAGTTGGTGGGGAACGCCCTTGCCGCGCCATTTCAAAGACAGCGTATGACATCGTGACCGACGTCCCTGCCCTGCGACACGCTCCCTCGACTCTTTTGCTGGGCCGAGCGGTGGGAATGTGGGGGCCCGAACTGGGGCGATGGTGTGTCGGGCCTCATTGTGGGACGAAGTCTCTGCTTGTGTCTGCTACCCAGGCATCCTGGTTTATGGCTGCCCGCTGCAGACGACATGCCGTAGCACAAGCCGAAATCACTGTCTCCAAGCCTGATGACGCCACTGGCGTGCCAGTTTGGCTGAAGGAGGGGCAGTGAAAGCAGCACGGAGCAATCACATGTTGCCAATCCCGCCGACCGGTCGGCGGGACCCACAGCACAGAAGATTTAGTATCTTATTCAGTATGGACCACTCATGGTATGCTGAAACGCCTGCAACGGCCACATCAGCTTCGGATGCTGGCGCTACACAAGCCTACAAGAATGTTGTTGCGAGCTCTCAGGTTGATTGTGTTACGTGGGTTTTCTCTCGTCATCTCGCAGGTCTTCGAAGTCCTTGCTGCCACATCGCCTTGTGTTGGCCGTCGCGTGGCATGAAATGCCTGCACATGCCACACCCATCTACATTCGGAGGAATGCACTGGGGTCAATGTGCAGTGAAGGGCGTCACGTCAGTGCCACAAAATGAGAACATTGTGGGAAGCCTCTCGAAGGTCATCATCCACTCTAAGCGCCTCTACCTGGCGAGCTTCTTTTTGTACGTCCAAACACACTCAATAGCCCAAACAGTTCCAGGCAGCACCTCCGGTTCAAAGCATGAGAACAGAACATCGCCAAGCGGATGCTTCCTGATCTGGTACAAGAACGCATGCGTATGTGTGATCAATGTGCCCTCAGCCATTGCCAATGGAACATAAGGTTTTCAGGTGCAACTGGCCATTGGCGTCCAAGGAGCACTTCAACTGGCGCTGCAGCGGTAGCCTGCTATTGAAAACAAGATATGATGTTAGTGGATGATTGCAGTCAAGTCCTGTTATCATGGAAATCGTGCTGACCTGACCGTCCAAAAAACAGTGGCATTGACGTAGGCTATCTACTATTCGTAGAACCAGCACGACATGGTTCACAGCATGCTACAGGACTTCCTCTCAGCCTCTCAGCACAATCCCTGTTCAAGATCTCAAGGCACTGCCGTGAGCATTAGCTTAAGAGAAGTCTCTCTGCGAATGCAGTAAGCCAGTAAGCTCATGGCCGGGAAGCGAGTTGCACAAGCCAGCTGAGGTACTGGCAGAACTAAGAGCTGAAGCACTGCTGCGGCGAGTCGGTCGACGGGGCAATTTCTCTTCCTTCTGCGGTCGCACCTCTGACAAACACCAGGTTACATAGATGTGACGGCTTCCGAAGTCTTGCGATACCGACGCAACCTACGTCGGAATTCATCTTTGACATCGAGAAAACTGCACATGCGCATGCAACTCGCATGCACATTACTTTCCGGGGCTCCAGCGCTTCGAATTGCTCTGGAGCCTCCGTTTCCACAGACTAACATGATGCTAACATGCAAGTGCCGGCATGCGCCTGCAACAGGGCACTGTCAGAAGCAAGTAAGGTGAGTGCTGAGGAGCAATTGGATGTCCTGCAGCACTTCGGGGTAGCACCTTTCGAATGTCCATTCCATCAGAACACAAGCACATAGCTAAACGCACTCCAATCGCAGTGTGTTGACCCAACTGTGATACATTTACGGCTGCATCATGCCAAGGTCTCGACTGCACCATTTCCTCATCCAGGACCACGCCAGAGCCATCACCTCCCAGGTCTACGGGACCCCACAATACCATACCGTCGCAGTGCACTTGTGCAAGCGCCTTACACAGCCCATTCAGGTCTTTGTGAGCGGCAGCGCAACCCTCTTTGCAGCGCTGCAGCTCCCTGCCCTGCAATGCTGTCACTTTTCAAAGTACAAGTAACACATCACGCCGCCATGCATCCCCAAAAGCACCAAACACCTTTCGGGAGCACGCGTGCTGCCAAACGTATGCGAGGGCAACTGAGGCGAGACACAAAAGTGCAACGTGTTGTTTCAATGCAAGAAAATTCCGGAATACTGCCTTCTGAAGATTGAGGGTAAGGAAAAACATGGAAAAACAGCTCAGACACGGCCTGGCGTGTGATCATGAATCACGGGAGTGTCCGGCTGACTTATTTTTGGAGGTGTTCGCAGGGCATGCCATAGAAGCCGGTGGAAGCCCTGTGAAGGCATGTGAATCTGGAACTTACAGAGACCAAAACACAGTTTTGGACCCTCATGGGGGAGGGGGTTTGCAAGATGTCTTCTGCTCGCAAAGCCGCTTGGTTTTTGGAAATGAGGCTTTGTGCCCTCAATAGCAGAACAGTACTACAGACCAGTATCTACCAGTCGCTCCTGCCAGGGCTGAAGCCTTGGTCTCCGGATCGCCTTGCCTTTTTTTCCCGAAAGCACGGCTACGGGCTTTTCCACGGAGGTGGCTTTCGAGAAGGTTGTCGTTATCATTGATGCATGGATGCGTCGTGCTGGAATGATATGGCGTGCGGTATGTTTATGTTAATACTTGTCAAAGGTTTTACAATCAACACAAATAGAAAAAAACCAATAAAACAACAGAAAACCATGAAAAAAAAGTACTCCAACAAAAACCAAAAGAAAACCAATAGAATACCAATAAAAGGAAAACCAATAAAACCAATGAAAACCAATAGAAAACCAATAAACACAAATAGAAAACCAATAAAAAACAATAGAAACCAATAGAAACCAATAAAAAACCAATAGAACCCAATAAAAACCAATAGAAAATCAATAAAAAGCACTAGAAAACCAATAAAAACCACGAGAAAACTAAAAAGACAATAGAAACCAAAAACAAAAGAAAACCAATAAAGGCCAATAGAAAACCACTAGAAAACCAACTAAAACCACTAGAAAACCAACAAAAACCAATCGACAACCAATAAAAATCAATAGAACACCAATAAAAACAACTAGAAAACCAATAAAAAGCAATAGAAAATAATAGAAAAACCAATAGAAAACAAAAAGAAAACTAATAAAAGCCAAGAGAATTCTATGGGTTTCCTATGGGTTTTCTACTGGTTTTCTATTGGTTGTTATTGGTTGTCATTGGTTTTCTATTGGGTTTTCTTTTGGCTTCTATTAGTTTTCGTGTTGTTTCCTATTGGTTTTCTATTGTTTTTCTATTGCTTTTTATTGGTTTTCTAGTTGTTTTTATTGGTGTTCTATTGTTGTTTATTGGTTTTCGATTGGTTTTTATTGGTTTTCTAGCGGTTTTTATTGGTTTTCTAGTGGTTTTCTCTTGGCTTTTATTGGTTTTCTATTGTTTTTGGTTTCTATTGTTTTTTAGTTTTCTAGTGGTTTTAATTGATTCTAGTAGTCTTCTATTGGCTTTTATTGGTTTTCTATTGTTTTTTTGGTTTTCCATTGTTTTTTTAGTTTTCGATTGGTTTTTTGGTTTTTCTTGGTTTAGGGTTGGTCATCGTCCTCGAAGTTCTGGGCGCAAACGACGAATAACTCTCTCAATGTCGGCGAGGTGTCGTGACGTTGGTGCGTGCGGCGGGCAGGAAATTCTGCGCGCAAACGACGAATCTCGTTCATCAGCCGAGAAGCAAAACATGGATCTTGCCATCTTTGCCTTCTTGCATATTCATTTGTCCCACACGAGGGATGCCGAAAACAATTGGCGCGCTCCCACAGAGCCCCGGACCCTACAATGAACATTACCGCGAATCAACTTTGACTTAGCAAAATATCAATATACTATATACATATGTCATCTGTTATCATGTCAATGTAAATCTTCGTGCATGTCTGCTTTCAGATCGTTAGGTGCTGTGCAACTAGCTTAACAAAGTTGATATCAATTGGTGCTGCTCGCCTGCTCGGAGCAGGTGCAAAAGGTCTGAGCGGCTCTTCACGCTGAGCGGAGACCTGCAAGTTCAATCGCGCGATTTTATTCAGAGGGACTCAGGAGATCTGAGGGTGCAATGCCGCCATGTTCATCTCAACATACACGGGAGAAGCGACTGGAAGCCTGCCTTTTGTGACCAGTGTCCTTGCGCAAGCACAATCGCTTCAATCAATCCGTGCTGCAAGCCGGCTGCCGGGCACTCTTGAGATTCGCGAGGCGGGATTCTCTGGCTGGGCACTCAACGGATGCGCGCTCTGCACAGGAATGCTCAACAGGGATGGTACTCCAGCGACTCTCTTTGTGGGGCTTTCTGAGGCAAAGGGTACTGTGCGTGATTCTCTGAAGGATTCTCTGTGGGTGGGCCGCCCGAGACCTGTTCTTCCGCGCTCAGACGGTCTCAAAAGATACGATGAAGCATATTTGTCTGCAAAGCAAACTGACCCCAGAGCTTCACCCACAAAACTGTCAAGAGACTGGTTCAAGGCAGCGACAAAAATCTGGCCTGCGCTGGCTCACGGCACAACGGGTGCGCTCACATGTTTCTCGCTCCTCGTCGACATCGGCGTCCTGGCTCTGCTCCTTCAAGGTCAAAACGCGCAAAAACACCAAAAGCAGTTAGCTACATACAGCATGTTGTACTATCAGTCACAATCATCTCATTGAACCTTACTGCAACAATTCGCGAACCAGGTCATTGACACTAAGCAGCGTAGGCACCAGCTGCTGCAAACCCAAGCAGCAAGAGCCGACTCTGGTTCAGGACTACTGCAGGGTACGTTTCGTCAGTGACTACTCCGTCTTATTCCGACGATTTTTCTACTATTTTATGGTGAGGCTCTGATAGGGTTTGTGGGTCTGTGCAACTCCTGCCGAAGGAGCTGGCGAGCCCAGATAGGCTGATCATCCGAGCTCCTCAAACTGGCCTCGGCGAGCGCCAGCGCAAAGAAACATCTTCAGCAGAGTTCGCAGGCTTGCTTGTCTGTTCCGAAATCATCGAAAAGGATGTGTACGCTTTCCATCTGGACGTGAATCATAGGAGGCAGGTGTCAATCACAACAAAATCTGCCCAGTGACCAACAAAGCCCCTTCGCGCTTGGAGGACATATCGATGCTGGGACTGGAGTGCAGTGGCACACGGGAGTGAAGCTGTCATTACAGCTTGCTGGGGCCGTGTTTGTCAAGCTTTGTGCAGCCAAGAATGTTGAGATGCGAGAGCATTCTGTCAACTTGCATTATCTTGTACATGGTTGCAGCAGAATGAAAGCAGAAAGCTGCGGAGTGGCAGGTCATGAATAGTCAGGATGCCAAAGTGGCACGAGCACTGCTTGTTTGGGTTGCGGAGGGCACATACGGCTCCACCAAGTCCAAGACCGAACCTTGTCAGATAAGTCACTGTGACTGTATGGCCTTGTTCAACCACAAAGTTCTCACACACTGCCTGCACTTTCGAGCAAGCCGGGTGGTGAGGCTTGCCTCCAATTGCTCATCAGTCAAGGGCCACAGACATCGCTAAATCTAGCTTGTAGGCCTTGCAATTAAGGGGTACCCAGGTCTTGGCTCTCTGAAGACTGTTGGCATATCTTGAAGTCTCGTCGTGTTGCGGCATACGTGGGGTCTCAGATCATTGAACTCGCAGGCGAATCTAACATGTTAACCTCGATTTCCCCACTGGGCGATGCGGAGATATGCGGAGATCATCTGAATGCTCTGTTGGATTCTTTACGTGGGATTCTCTGGGTCGAACTCCAGGGATGCTCTTTTGGATTCTCCGTAGGTCGGCGGATGTCGGCGGCGCAGGGGATGTGGGGGATTCTCTGGCGGGGCCCGAGGGCAATCCGGGGATGCTCTGCGGAGTCCCTCCGGACTCTCTAAAATAGGTGGGCGCGCCATGGCACGCCTGGGACACTCTGCGTTTAGTGATGAACGCCGGCGTGATCTATCAAGACGCCTTGTCGCTGTTACAATGTCATTGTTGCGGAAAACCTTGTTGTGGTTCCCAGATGGTCTCCATTCCAGGGATTCTGTGCGGGATTCTCTGGTGGCACTCCAGTTAGCTTCAAAGAAGATGCGCACCTTGGCAGTACCTGGTCCCGCGCACCTGGCAATCTCATCTGGATCGAGTGTCGGCACATCATACCTCGTTGCTGCAAAAGTACGCACAACAATTCTGAACGTAGCGATCTTCATATCTGACAGTAAAGACTTTCCCATTGCTACCTTGGGCTCGAAGATTGTTTTCAAACGTAATACTAATAATACTTCTCTCTGATCCACATTACTCAAGATGATTTTGTTTTTCGACATCCAGAATTTTACATTCTCATTAATGCATTTGGGATCACTTCCAGAATGATTTCAGAGATTTTTAAACTAATCCTCCTTACTCAGTATTGGAAGCGTTCCGTGCCGAACCTAGTCCAAGGTGTCTGGCTGGTCTGAGTTTCCCGGCATCAGACACGATTCTGTTATCTCGTTGCTTGTCGGGGCAGCCCTGTTCCAGACACTGCCCCCTGAAGACTTCAAGCAGTGGCCACAAATTCGGTAAGTCATTGCTATCACAGCTGCGCTTCAGCGGCCGTGCACCTGTCTGATTTACGGAGCACGCATGACATTCTCTGAGCACGGATTCTACCAAGAGAACCGGGTGTGTGGCCAAGATGGCCGCAACCCTTGGCTGCCAACACCTGTGCTGTGGGGTGGCACGTCAAATACGTGGGTATGCAAAGTCCATGCTATCATATGCCATCCATCTTTCTTAAATGATATACTGTTTTCGCAACTGCAAATAATGACAGGACTGCAGCACACGACGGCACAGCGGCCACTCGTGAGTTTCCATCAGCCTCGGAGCGGCGCCGTCGGAAACAGAAACCGCAGCATGGGCAAACCTCATGACGTCACACCAGCAGCTTGCCCTACACGCATACGCACACACACACACACAAGATTCCGAAAATTACCGAAGAGAGCTGGGTGAACGCGTCGGCTTGTGAAAGCCGGGCACGCGGCCCAGCTGTTGCAGTGCTGGAGCTGTTGTTGACCAACCTCATGCAAAGATATGCTAAGTTGCCACCTCTGAACAGAAGTCCTGCCCCAGAGTGCCCTTCTGAGCCCGTCTGCCTTGTCCAGTGTCACCTAGGCCATGCAGCCAAACCTGGTGCAGAGTGATCCAAGAACTCAGATTCGTCAGATGTCTGCCAATATTTGTCAAGTGGCAACCAGCGCTTCGCCCTCTGCTTGTGCCGGAGGCGTGATGAGAACCTGTGAATGCCGCAATGAGGCACACGCCTCGACCCCGGTGCTCGTCTACAGAATTACACGAACAACTGTACTGCAAGAGTAGAGCTTCGCCAGATGCTGACGCTCCAGTAGGCTGGTATACGCACCGTAGGAAATCTGATAGCACATGGCATCATCCGGAAAGAATCTGAACACGGTTGCACTATGTTGCACTTCTGCATGCTTTGTAAAGTTCTGAACGACTCTGAAGGCCTCTTCGACTGCACTGGCATGTCGTTGGCGCTTGCATCGAAGGGCTTTCTGGACTGACGAGGCTGGGAGTGCAAATCCCAAAAGCAATGACAAGTCTGATTCTAAACATGCCCATGACTGTGCGCAACCTGTCAAGCCACAAAGTGCGACTTGAGAGAAGCCGCCACACTGACGAACGGCCTGTCACAGCTGTGGAACCATAGGGAACAATGAGGAACAATGAGGATCAATGAACCGAAGAAGCGGCTAACAATATTAAATATTTACAATCTAACAGAATCTAACAAGTTGTGGTGTTAGCCGAAGACAAGATTTGCTTTGTGTCGCGACTAGAGTAGAGTGAGTAGAGGACATCAGCCACTCAGGAGACCCCGGGCTGACGCTGACGGGAGGGCGCCTTTAGGGACTCTAGTGACGGCGACCTGCGCAAAGCCCGATCCAAGTTTGGGACGTTGGGACAACAAGATGTCCTGTAAGGCATTGTAAGGCTGAAATCAAAGGTCTCCATAGCAGGGGCGTCACCTTATTGTCGTTTTCGCCAGACGGTTGCCGGCTCGCCAGTGTTGGCCTTGACTCTGATGCCCAAGGTTCTCGAAGAATCCGTTTGGTGTTGCTACTCAAAATCTTCCGACGGCATCATGGATTCAGGGTTGCTCGCACCGTTTCTCCAAACGACTGCCTCCGCGGTCTTGGAGGATGCGCTCGAGTAGCAGATAGTAGCAGTATTGGGATGTACTGGGTATAGTATAGAAGACGAGCGTGCAATCTGGCGAGGATCTTCGGACGTCCCATGTTGTCAACACAGCATGTTGATGAGATTAAGGATCATCAAGGCCTTTGGCTCAATTGCGTCAAGGCCTGACTCTTTGCATCTGGGTCACTTTGGAAGCTCAAAAGAACCCACCTGTAAAGCGACGGGGAACACTGAAAAGCCACGCCCCTATTGCGCGACCTAGGCCCGACCTCTCTAGTTTTGACAGTCGCTCACATCCGTGCCGCAAAGTTGAAAGGAAGAACCTCTGATCATTCCGATTGGCCAATGCCGGGGCCCGGTACAAAATTAGGCCTTCAGGCGGTTCCCCCAGACGGCATCGCCTTCTTCGAGTGCTGTGGCTTGTTCGCAAACCCAGTGAAACGCATGAACGCAGCCACGCGAAGCCAATGCGAAGGCAGTACGAAGGCAGTAAGAAGCCAGTGCGAGCTCTTCGGATTTCAAGAAATTTAGCTACCTATTAAGGATCGATCACGAAGCAGACAAAAGCATTGACAACCCCGCTTAGACATGTTTGCTTTGGGTACAGCGTCTGAACCAGTTGGCCAAAAAGCTCATGGTACCTAAGCTGCAGCATATTGCAGCGCTGGCATTGCCTGTTTTTGCACAACTCTGTGCACATGAAAGCATGTGCCTTGGCCCGCCGATGGTACCTGTTGCTTCTGATTCATCTGATTCCAGCATCTGTCCATGATATGGCTACTGGTCAGGAAAATCTTTGCAGACTTGGCCCGCCTCGGCGACCAGCTATGGATGGAAGCAGGATGCAAGACCTAGCAGGCGGTCTTGACACCCAGCGACGTCTTGGCAGCGTCCAGACAGCTCTACTCTGCATTCGTATGTTACCATATGTTACTGCACTGTCCGCATCCCGCAATGGGCTAGTGAGCGTGATGCCGCGACAAGCTCTCCACACCCTACTTCAACATCCACCCGATCGAGCCTTGGAATGCAGCCATGGCAGCCCCTGCGACGGCACCTGGTGCAGACGCCACAGGTGAAGCTTGAACAACTATAACAACTATAACACCTGTGGCAATGCAACAAGCTCTCACCCTGGGCACTGCCATGAGCAGTCTTATGGAAAGCTGATGCTTGTCATGCCGCGACTCCCCAACTTCCTGGGACGCACTCCATGCCTACTGCCTAATGTAGCAATGTGCTTTATGTCATTTTTATCTCCGGTACCACTAAGCAGGATCGAACCCACAACAGACGCGCGGCATGAAATCTGAGGAAACCGCTGCGATTTCCATCGAAGTGCCTTCTCTCCGAAACTCGGGTTCCGTGAAATGTCGGCTTGCTTGTGTGGTCGCCACAAACCGTGCATGTAGGCAAAGAGCGTGATCTGGAGTTAACATGGTCTAACATGGAGTGCTTTCCACTTTGTCTCCGTGTGTGTGTGTGTGTCAGATGTCGTGAGCCTCCTGTCACTGACGTAAAGTGAGACCCATTGCAGATGATGTCTGACTTAGTCTGACTTCAGTGCGTGCCCAGCCCCAACATCTAGTTTGACGAGTCTTTTGCTGCGGCCAGCTTCTTGATACTGGGCGGATGTTGGTATCCATTGACCAACAGTAACAGGTCCCCCTGCATCTACCACCTGGCGGTCTATGTACATATTGGCCACAGTTGTGCTCAGACAAAACCAATCAACTACAAGCAACCGCGAGTCTTCCGTATGCTAAGCTAAGCTTTACAGATAACCCTCCGAGCGGCTGGGCTTCATCACGCTCATTGAGCTCGCAAGGAGCAGCCCATCTGCAGAACCGCCCTGAGTTTCAACTCTGTTTCATGGCTAGTACTTAGTACTTAGTACTACCATCGCAGGCAGTTCGCTGAGTGGTGGCACTCTCCTGTGTGCTGCCAGAGGAGCTTGGCGGAAATCGGAGGTCGCAAGGGTCTGCGTCCTCTTCCGCCTTGCACGGCTGTTCAGCATCCGCTGCTGGTCGGAGAGCGCCTCAAGGAACTTTGACGATCCCACACGGCCTTCTTGTTCCTTGTCCCTTTCCGGATTCCCCTCCCCCGCCTCGACCACCGCACTTACAACACTACTTGATACGCGTCCCCTGCATATGTCGCACTGATTGCCTTCGGGATAATCTGTGTCTAGTTGCAAATAGGCGGTTATATGTATATTGATTGCAACAACATAAAAAACTGGCCCGTGGCTTCTAAACTAATAATTTTCCATTGTTGCATGAACAAAACTTACAGACGTACACTCTTAGCAAGTATGTAGATCCCCCCAAGTTCACCGTGTAGGTGTTCTAGCTCATTTGATTAACGTAGTCGGGGGCGATTTATGCTATAAGTTTTTGTACTAGTGAAAACATGGCGACGGCGTATTGAAAGACAATGAAGGACAGCTATTGGGGGAACCACTGGGCCCTGAGCTTCAATGATCGAGACGGAGATTTCGTTGCTTTTGCAGTTCAATGAATATGACTAACCCGTTACAACATAAGAAGCTAGTCCGATTCCAATAGTTGTTCAAGGAATATGGCTAACCTGACATTACAAAGTGGAAACTAGCCGCTACTGTCATCGTTCTTTGCATTGGCACATCGGTTGTCCCGGAGCTGTCCTTCATTCTCTTCCAATGCGGCCATTCAAAAAAAGCATGAACGTAAAGTGATGTTTGACCTCCAACCACGTTAATCAAATTATCTGAACTTGTTGCTTTTGAATTTGGTGTGGTGGGGTTTGTAGTGGCACTTGTGTACGAACTAAACGTGACCTCAAAAGATACTAACCAACAAAATCAAGCGTTTACATTTCAAACTTGAGGGAACTGATATGTGATCAATATGGGTATGATCCTGTTAGGTCTATTCTATTCCCTTTACACATGAAATCGGTTTTACATAAAATACAAGTAAGATCGTTCTGCAAAGTTACAAGCCGTTGCTGCAACAGTTCAACGAATATAACTTGCCCTAGTTTGCAACTTGCCCTAGTTGGCGCAGCACAAACGCACAAATCGACCAACAACGAATTGCAATGAAATTAAATACGACATTCGACAAAGTACATGTAAGAAAACACGAAAAAGGAGCAAAACTCGAAGCTTGGCTATGCGAACACAATGAATTAAAACACTGTTAATACCAGGTCGCCTGCTTATAGCAATACACAGCAGCACTACCAGAACCCGGCAAGTAGTCGGAAGAATGAGTTGTACACATGATATGAATTAGCAGCACGTTTGCAGATTCGCTAAACACAGGAAAGTATAAGGGTTTGCACGCTATAGACTGCCTATACCCCGACTACTACTCAATATACGTACACGTCATGCCGTATATACTCTGGGTAGGGTACAGTATATTGCCTGAATGCCCCGATGCCCTATGCACACTATGGACCCTACATAAACTATATACAAACCCCATACACCCCTTATACATTACGTACCCTTCATGCCCTACATGAGCGGTGCCCGAAAAGCTGGTCCTTCTGTTTTGCTTCGAAAAAAATGCTTCCTGCTTTCGGTAGCTTGTGTTTTCCAAGCTTTGGCTTGCGACATGACTTTATTCCCCACCCTCGGTGCGGGGTTGTAAGCTATTTTTGCCTAAACTCCTCGCCCATCACCCATATCCACCCCAGAGTATGCCAACAGCGACCGTGGAGTGCCCAAACCCAGAGTGTCCCTGGAGTGCCCAACCTCAGGGTATCCCTGGAGAATCCCTGGAGTGCCCAACCCCAAAGTATCGCCACCCCACCCCAGTGTATGCCCAGCGTCCCTGGACCTCAGAAAATTCCCAGAGTGTCCCTGGAGTGCCCAACCTGTCCCCAGAGAATCCCCAGAGCGTCCCTTGGAGCGCCCAACCCCAAAGTGAACAACAGATTTCGACGCTTAGGGCAACAAGAATTGCTTACGCTACCCCACGGAACACAACACTTTTGCTTACGCCAAACCTTTTTTCAGAAAGCCCCTATCTTGTCTAAAGACGCGCCCGGTCAGGCAACATGTATCCCTGTACTCGATGCAGCCGATGTAAGGGGTCTCGCCTGACGCGCTTCCCTGTACGCGGCTTCCGTGTTCTCTCCAAATACACCTTTATCCATCATGTGGTAACCATGCAAATTTTGAACATGAGAAAACATCAAGATCCCCGCGCCTCAGATATACCCCAGATGTGTTATTGATAGAATCAATGCTGACCCCCCAAAAGTATATTATATTAAAAATTCAATGCTGACCCCCCCCCCTTTCAGGTGAACCGGTCAAGACAAACTCCCACCCCCCACCAAAACAAGAGAAAGCGTCGATTAAATACAGTCCTGAAAGGTTCGACCAACCCGCTGAAGCAGTAGTTAACTCATGTGTGTTTTATATGTTTGTTTGTGTGTGGGTTACGCATGGTTACGTGCTCTGTCTGTCATTCACGTCTGCCTCTTGAATGCGCTGCTCGGCAAATCGGTCGGAACGCTGTGCGCTGACCAGCTCATCGGCTTGCTCCTCACACCGTGGCTGAGATGATGAAGCACTGCAAATTAACGTCAAACCGCAACCCCGCCACCACCTTCTTCAGCATTTCCGACTTCTTCTGTTCCTTTTTTGCAAGTTGCTCCTTCCGTGCACAAGAGGCAGCACAAGAGGCAGGAATCAGGACTGTAAATGCTGCATTGCGCGTGAAAACTCGCGGCCTGACCTGAGACTGGCGAAGAAACACCAGGAGCTGCTGCATCACACCCTGCCGACATCAAGCGGAAACTTCTACTAGAGCGGCTGTTTCGAGGCTGTTTCGAGGGCTGCCGAGCTGCTTCCTTTTGCGCAAATGCTTCCGGAAGTGGATGGTGTCGGAGATAGCAATACTCTCGTCCAACCTGCTTTTGGGCTGCCATGTTACTTCTACTTCTTCTCTTGACCGGCAGGGATGCACAGAATTCTTAGTTTCGACAGTTCGGACACCCAGAGAGTCTGACGCAGTGTATTCCAGAAACCGGGTATCGGCGTCAGGCTTAAGGCGTACAGGCAAACCTTCGCCATTCGGTTTCGGTCCCCTCAACAATGCGTTCATGAAACGTTGCTTTGGGAATGTTTAGTGACATGCAGAACGTTTCTGCTGACCAGTGTGTGACACCGAGCAGCAGCTTAATTTGCACAACATGCTTCATGAAGGTGCCCTACCATTGTTTGGGGGGTTGATCTAAATTTTATTGTGTCATTTATGGTCTTTGATGGTTCTCCTGGTTTTCAACATCGAAAGTACGGGTACCCTTCTTGCGCGGTGTTCCGAGAGCAGGGGGTTGGAGCATTCTGGAGTATATTAGGGGTACCCTTCTTGGGAAAACAGCGGGAGTATTGGTTAAGAATTCCTGACATAAGAATTTGAGGGGCCGAATTTCCTACGCATTGCTTTTCCAACCGTGTCTTGACTTAAGAATTTCAGCCCCACCCCCTACCCTTAACCGCGCGAGAAATGGAAGGCGCAGTCTTAACTCAGCGATTGCTTTTAAGGCAAGCAGGAAGCCTGAGTAAATCCCAAAATCAGATTCTTAATACACAAGCTGGGGACCATCAAAATCCTCCAAAAGTGTAGAATCAGAATCTGATCTTGGCTTGGATAGGATTTGCACAAGCAAGCCCCAAAGTGTGGAGACCTCAGAACACCTTCAAATCCGCCAAGGCCTCGGGCCGAAGGTGTAGAACAGGCACCTCCCTCCAAATCCTGCCCCCCCCCCCCCACCCCCCCTACGCTGCCCCTCCCCCCCCTGCCCCCCCGCTTTTGCTTGAGGAATCTTGAACCCTAAACCCAAACCCCAACCCCAAACCGTGAACCTTGAGCCCTAAGCCCTCAACCCTAAACTAACCCTCAACCCTGAACCTCAAACCATAAACCATAAACCCGGAACCCTAAACCCTAAACCCAACCCTTATTGCTTGGGGTCGAGCGACTTGGGCGCTGATTCTTAGCATCTGAGCCTCAAGATTCTTAGCTTGCAACTCAGGAATCTCGGTGTTCTACAGAATCCTACGGTACTGTTACATGTGACAGAATGTTTTGGGCTAGTGGCTACAGCGTCCTCCCTAAGGCCTTAGGTTGCTAGTTCGAACCCCAGTCTGGAAGGTCCTGAAGCCAAAACAGCATCAAACGCACAACTTACAACCAGTCTCTAGCTAAGAATCTGAGCCACCCTGACAGACCCAGCGCACATTCTTAACCAGTGCATAATTGAGATCAACACCCATTTCGTCAAGTCACTAGCATCAATGGAATTAAAGATGACTGACTAAACTAGTTGAGAACTGTAAACATGCCGGGGTGTCCGACCATGGTGGGGGGTTCAGGACCTGCACAGGAAAAGATCAACCGACACATGGTGCATGGGCCAAGGAAACGAGGCCACAAGTGGGCAATGCTCAGTCCACAAGGCGTTGAAACCCCCAGTCGTGCGACGTTGCACGGCAAGGTAGCAATTGCGTCATGCCAGCTGAATTGGCGGAGAGTGCATGGGCCATGCTCCCACGGCTTTTGAGCAAAACCCTGCAGCCTTGCCCAGGTCAACAAGGCTGTCTTCCCAATCCTGCCAAGTGGAGCTCCAGGATTTGACATCAGAATGTCCCATCTTTGTTGCCAGCGCCAAGAAACTTGCAAGAATGCAAGCGGCCACAGCCGCGACACTAGGCCACTGGGCCTCCTCGCCAGCCAACCTGCAAACATTCAACAAAGATGGCACATTGCTCGAATGCCAACGATAGTCAGTAAGTGCACTGCCCACTCCCAGCACAGGCTGTTCAACGCAGAATGCAGCCCCCACGGAACCATTCGACACAGCGCTTGCCGAGCGTCTACCAAGCACTCATTGAGCGTTCCGAACGCATCGCGGCAGCAAGCCAACTTAACTAACCTTAACTTGAACACAAGACGCATGCTTGGAATTCTCAACGTCGATCCCAGCAAACACCAATAAACAACTTTTTTCGGAGCAATCAAGAGGATCGAAAAAGCTGTTTCTTGTTGTCCTCGTAAAGAATACTTCTTGGGCCAAAGCCATACTCTTCCTTAGAAAAAAGGCTGGCTTTACTACAAAAATGGTGTTCTTAGGGTAGTTACATTTTCCCGTAACCTGGGCCCTGAAAAGGGACCCCTTGCAAATACCATACTTCAGAACCCCTTAAGGATGTGAGGGACCATATTGAGGGCTCTCCTCAGAACCAAACTTGCCACAACGAGGCCCGACACAGTTTTGCAAGGGGGGGGGGGGGAATAAGCAGGGCTCGAGCGGCCCAGGCCCGTAGAGACAGACCCCGATTGGCAAGAAATGTATCTGGCCTTCGCCACCTCCACCTCCCGGCGATCCCTCCAAGCCCACTAGCCGATTACTCAGCCACTGGACTGTCATTTCTACGACACCTACTCTATGCCTGCTTTAGACTACTGTTGAACTATTAATGAGAATCACTTCGCGATTCAAAAACATGCGGGGGGCAACAAACTGGTCTCAAGAACCGTAACCCCGACATTGCAGGAGCTAGGAGCGCAAACCTGAAGAGACCGGAGACCGGAGTTCAAGAAAAACGCAAGGCAAGCATACACTTCAACAAGATTACATGACTAACATGGCAGCACCGTTGCATGACAATGCCAGCTTCAAGCCGAAACATCTCAAGAGGCGAGAGCCTTGTGAATCCCATCAGCGCAGCTGTGGAAGTCGGTGACAGTGGAGTTGCGTCGGGCATCGAGGGTGCCGCAGCATCTCGGGCGGGACAGACGTCAGCTTCGCTTCCCTGTGTGCCGGTATGCCAAAGAAGCCACTCTGAGGCCCGGTGCATGGAAGGGGTGACATGAACTCAAAGCGTTGAGAGTGCACAGGGTTGCCTTAAACCTCTCCGGTCGAACCCCAACCTCAGAAAAGAAGTTGAACATGGTTGACCACGTTGAAGCCTTCCTTTGCCAGCTCCACATATCCAAAATGGAGAGGAACAGGCTCTCTCGATCTATCTGGTTTTCCACCAGCTTCAGCATGCGAGCTGCCTTGTTTTCATTTTCTCCTCAGCCCCTGATTATGGAGCAGCACGATGTCCCTTGCGCAAGTTGGGGCTGCTCGGGAACTGAATCTAACACCAGAAGATGCCAATCGCTGCGGGTCCGAGTTCCGTGGGCCACACAGTTTCTGTTCGGAGCCGGCGGGGGGAGGGGGGGAGAGATGCGGGGATGTGGTATGACCACGCAGCCTGTCCTGCATCTTCTAGTAAGGCGCTTGGAGTCACCCTTTAGATGTGAGATGGGCACCTACTCTTCACAGCAGCCTACTCCACCCATTGCTACGAAGTGTTCCTATTGTGGGGAACGTGTCACTGTCAATGGACCGGGGCTTGCGCCGTGTAGTAAAGCGGGGTGGCGCTTTTCGTGTGGACACTGCTAGGCCGCTAGGCCGCTCACAAACCAGGGAACGGGACATCCCATAATCTTTGGGGAAATGGGGACCGCATGTTCCGTCTTGAACCAACTACAAGCCGATCGAAGATCGAAGCAGCCTTCAGCTGGCCAGCTGCGGCACCATGAATTCACCGCCAGGGCCAAGACCTCCATTCCAGACATCTCTAGAAATGCATAGCCTATGGATCACATCTGCTTTCGAGCTGCGGACAGGACTGTTGCACACCTCGGCCCGAACACAATTTCACTGTTTCATGCCATTTCTCATTTCTCGATGCCTCTTGGCAACCTCAACAGCGGCATCGACCAGACACGAGATTTGGAAACAACAAGCCACCCAGGGTGCCATCTTTTATTTTACAACTCGCTTGTTCAACAACATGCTATTTGACTCCTCCCATCTCTCCGCAAACTGGCGAGGCCCCAGCGCCGATTGCCGCGACCTGACGCCAAGTTCGTGCCAAGTGCAGCAGTATGGCAGTATGGTTAGGTCGGGTCATCCGGTCAGTGCTATGCCTGCTACTCCTTGCTCTGCCGTGGAAAGAGCCTTCGGATGAAACTGATGCCGAGCTTCTGGCCACGCCAAGGGCGACTGCTTCGGCACGTTGTGACCTGATATTGAAAACAACCTTGCTGAAAATGAGCGGTGGCAGGCATTCTTGCCATTGCTTTCGGCATCTAGTGCAACAGGGCCTGGACCCTTCTAGCACTGGCATCACAAGGTTTCCAACCATCAGCGCTGCAAGCAAATACCTGAACGAGCACCAGCATGCAAAGTAGCGGAACTCCTTTCTTGCAAAGCACTTAATTCAAGACCTTTCATGCACTATCTGCCACCACAGACATGCAGAGGCAGTGGCCTTATGCACTGCGCAATTGCTGGAAGAAGAACATCTGCCTGTGCTAGAAAAGGCTTTCGACGGACGGTGGGGGATGGCACAAAAAATGCACAAACCGAGACGAGCGATGAGAATACTTCCGGGGACCCGTGAACTCTCAAGATGGAAAGCTGTGTGAAGCTGTGTGGATAGCCCTGGGCCGCACTGGTACGCCAGATGGAACGGCATAGTTTAGAAGCATCTGGAAGGTGTGGATTTGGCAGCCCTGGGATAATTGCCTTGACAATGGCTTAATATGGCTTGCACAGCTCGACGTCATGCGGTTTAGGATGGTCTAGGTAAAGTCTAGGTATGTTTTGGGGTTTCGGGGTTTCAACTCTTGAGCTGCTGGGGCCGCTGTGATGAACTGCGATGATCTGCGATGATCTGTGATGATCGGTACGTGAAGGCCTCCTCCCCAGGTGATCGTCCCGACGGTCGCAATGACAACACGATGCTGACCTGCCAGCACTCTGCAGAACTGCGCACGTAGCACACCCACAGTCATTTAAACATGTGACACAGCGCACCTCACACAGACTGATACAAAATAGTACAGACAGGCTGGTGCCACCGCTGAACCTTGGCTGGGCGCATGTCACTGGCCAGCATAGGGAACGAAAGCACATGAAAGCAATACGGGCCGGAGCAGGCAGAAGAAGCCAAATTCAAAGAGTGGCCCAAACAGTCTGGCAACACCATGGGGGCAAAATGATTCGGAATTTTTGCAATCCCTTCCCCTTGCTTTAAACACCCCCCTAATTGTAAAAACACTTTCCGGAAAATCCTGCCGAAACCGACCCCGCCCAGCCTTTTAAATCCTATTCCGAATTGGGGGGAGGGGGGGTTCAGCGCCTCAAAAACCTTCAAGCCAATCTACACCCTATCCCAACAGATGCAGATGGCATGGATACAAACATCCCCCTAGTATTAAAAGAACACATTTCGAGTTTCTAATGGGGGGGGTGGGGGGCCGTTTAATAGTTGGCGCGGCACTCGCGGCGCTCGTTTCTGGTCCAAATCGCACTCTCGCCACCTCTCGCCTAGGCACAGGCTTGCGCGGAACGTGGTCTAACGCGCTCGCGCCTTGTCGCCTACTGTTCGCATGAGGTTCTGGGGATCTGAGGAGGGAGTGGGCCTCGCGGAGAGAGACGAAAGCTCGTTCGCGAGTTCCGCTTTTCTGATCTACAGAAACGTCAACCGAACTGTGAAACCACTTCTGGTTACGAATCTGATATGATCGGATATGGACCGGGAACACAGGAACCGCGCTCTCGATATTGTTACTTCCTGCAGCCCGCCCTTCCCCCTCGTCCCACCCTCCAAAGTCCACAACTTCCCTTGCCTCCCTCCTGCCCATCACCCACTGCCTGCCCCATCCCTGCCCTCTCCCACTTTCCTCCCCACCCTTCCGCCCCGCCGGCCCTTCCCCACCGTCATCTGTGCAAGCGTCGAACACAGAATGCTAAGCCCGCTACGTCGAATCTGCACATAGCCTCCGACGCGAAGGACGTGCAAACCAGAAGCCTCTCACCTGATGTGCACTTTGCCAAGCGTACACAAGTGATGAGCTGCAGACTATAGACCCGAAGCTGGCAGTGAAGATCAGTGAAGCCACGGAGGTTTACGCTGGTGTCCAACAGGGAGCTGTTGCAGGCTGAATTACTCGATTGGCAATCGTCGATTGGCTCTCAGCTGGTCGATGACGTGATTCACGTCGTGGCTTTACATGGCTTTGGTGAAGATCGATTCGGTTCCTATCGACTCCTGTCCCATCCGCCCCATCAGGGCACAACTTGCTGCCGCCCTGCAGACGCCAGACTCGATTGCTGGATCACGGCACTGTATGTCGGATGATGGGCAAGCTCTGTACAGAATCTGCAGTCGGTCAGCCGACTCGGAAACTAAATGAGGGTCAGAAATTGGGAAACTGGATTCAGGAAAGAGGAAACTGGAAACCGCGGAATCGGCAACGGATTCAAGAAATTTAACAAACTCTTGGGACTGGGATCCATCGATTCGGAAATTGGGAAATTGGAATGGATTCGGCAACCACCGCGTCGGGAAACTGGAGACAGACTCGGCTTTCGCGTGCTTGATTCTTCCAGATCGTCATGCCATTCCCCCTGCCCCTCCAGCGGTGTTTCCCGAATGGGCCGGAATGGGGATGCCAGAATGGTAAATTTCCAATTTCCTGAATCGGCCAGTCCGGGCCGTTTCTTGAATCGCAAGAAGATCATGAAGCGGTTCCCTTAATCGGCCAGAACAATTTGCCAGAATCGAGTGATTTCAGCTTTCTGAATTCATCACACGAAGCCAGTTTCAGAATCGCATCTTCGCGGTTCGGCCAGTTCTGGGTGACGGCACCGCAAACGACTTCGAGTCAGACTTTATATCTCCGACGTCAGCGTTCGCCTTGCACAAGAAGTGCAGGTGAGCGGCTGACAATATACATCGCTTGTTGAGCGGTGGGATATGGTGGGCCCTATCGTTTTCGATGATTGCCATGATTACAAGGGTATCGCTTCAGGGTGGGCCCCCTATGGCTTTCCGAGACAAAGCACAAAACCCAAATGCATTCAACATCAAGCGGCTGCACGTACACAGAACTTGTCGGACAATGCTATCAGCAAACTTAGGTAGATGTGGTCCACCACAGTGTAGTGCTACGTACGCGCGTCAGTAAGAGATTTGGGCAGAGCAATCAAGGCATCAATGCACTCAGAGCCTTCAGTTTGGATAACATTCAGGTAGCTGGCTTGACCAAGCTCACTTAAGTCAATTAAGAAGCAAAGACCGGCCTCAAGAAGAAGGATGTCAGCCAGCATGTCTGGAATCAATCGGTCCTTGCAAAAGCCAGTGAAGTTTCAAGCTTTCTGTTTCGTGCTGACAATCAACTAACTAACAATCACCACTGGCAAAGAATTCTCGCTTCCCCCGCTATCCATGATACTTGAACTTCGCAAAAGACGCACAAAATAGCAAGCTCACATGTGCTTGCCCGCACTTCTGTAAACGCACAGCAGGCGGCGCTCAGTCTCTTCGCACTTTAGCAAGGCGAAGGACTGTGACAATGTCGGTGCGACCCGTGCACCATGACCTCGCACCGCCTGGCCCAAAACCCCTCACAGCCCCTCACAATGAAAATGCACAACTGCATTCAGTAGTCGCTGAAGCAACGCGTCGTAGTCTTGCCAAGTCCAGCATGTCCAGCCATGGGCATCGACGACAGTAACTCCATGATTTTGAAAGGAGTTTTGGTGAGGGTTTCATGATTGCAGGGTCGATCACCGGGATATGAAAGTTGGATAAGAAGACATGTGAACTGGGGTCGCGCTCGTTTTCTTCGAGGAAGCTTCCCCCTAATTTCCAGACGCCTTAAGGCCTTAACTTTCCAATCACTGGTCACGGCTCAAAAGTACTGTTAATACCTCTTCCTTCTTGGAATCTCATGGTGCCTGTAGAAGAAGGCCGTCCATGAATGGGATCCGGATAAACACTGGATGCCTGGTCTGTAAAGAAATAGGATGCCATGACACATGATTTGATGCGCAAGCCAGGCAATAGTGACAGGTGAACGGGCCAGTTTGTAAGTGATAGCGCAAAGAGACCAGCCAAGGAACGACCTTCACAAGCCATTTCAAGCTCCCCCGATAATTGGGGCTGTCTCTCTCTCTCTCTCTCTCTCTCTCTCTTTTGCTTCATCCATTCGTTCACTCGACTTCTCATGAATTTCCCAACTTTCCCTGTGATCACACATCATTGTAGTACGTTTCTTTCGAATGATCTCTTCACTGTTGAGCTCCTGGTTCTTCGTGAGGATGCAACATTAAATAAGGAGCATATAAAGTCACAAAAACACGATATTTGAAGGAGCTCTCTTTTTGAGTTTTTGGCTTGTAGATTTAGTTTGATTAAGCACAAAGGCGAGACGCCAGCAGTGGGATGCAGTGGGTACAGTTTCATGCAGATCTCGATATCAAGATGTATCAACTGATCCCATCAGCTTCAAGACGCCACAAACATTATGCTGGGTCTCTTGTTGTCACATGCACAGCTGTGTCCTCTCGAAAATAGCGTAGCCCATCGATGCCGAGTCTGTCTTTGCAGGCCTGCCGTCACAAATCAAGGCGCATTTCTGAAATTTGAATAGGGCTTCGGGCGGCTTCAACCATCTTCAACCTCAACTAAAGACGCAAAGTCTCAGAGTGCTTGAACATGGAAGCTGCACTCGGCTGAGCGTATGCTCACGATGCGCTGCTACTGTGGAGGCAAGACAATACCGAGCGAATGTCCGGTGCCTTCCATCCTTGGGTGTCTGGCATGATTGTTGCCCATGATACAAAGCCCTGCCAAAGAACGCGATCTCTGCAGCACTGCTGGTGTTTACTACATTTTACTACCGGGTCTTCTGCTCTTTGTCATGACATGCCTTCTGCCTTCAGTGCCATCAGCAAAGCTCCCGCAAACGTGGTCTGACACCAAAGCCGCATGTCCCCCAGTCGCCAAATCTGAGAACCAAGGCGACAACATGTTCAAGGATGGCTACATATGCTCAGAGAGTGTTGCGATGCTGAGCTCACAGCAAGCCCCAAGCAAATCACCTGTCACAACGACGTTAAACAGTTGAAGCTGTGCTTGAGCAGCACCCGAAAGTGAAAGCAGCAGTGCACTGTACAAGTTCAGCGAAAAAACTGGGCGACCACACCGGCAGGAGATCAGTGATGGATTCCAGGACAAGTGACATGAAGCCAGCATCCGAGCTAAGCCACCTGAATTTCTGGGATTCTCAGGCACAATCCAAACAATGCAACGAGTGTCTTCCACTGTAGCACCATCTGAACACTCTATGGGTAACAAGACATTGCCAGGGCTGCACTGACGGTTTAGGTTCCATTGCGTTCCGGCCTCCCGCCATGCACTGTGTCACCTGCAAGACATGCCAGACATTGCTGCAGAGCGACACACTGCGAGCAAGCATCGCCGCGCCTTCCAATGCATTTGCTACAACTGCTACAGCTTCATCAGAAGGCTTGTGCAACTCATCCTCAGGTCGGCAAATGGGTTTGCAAGGCCATGAAAGAGGGTTTCTTGCGAACGTCAAGCTCCGCGCCATCCATCGAACGTATCTCTGCCTGGTATGTAGCATGCGCACTTAAGATGTCTCGGCATCTCACAAAAAATTCGGCATCAAGCAGTCCCGATGGGTGCTCAGCGTTGCTGTCGTCGAGTAAAATGTTGGTCAAGCACGGCAGGTGCACGTTGCGAAGTACAATCCAACCTTAACGACCGTTGCGGTTTCCGCATGTAATCACAAGGGATGATCTTTTGGGCGCTCTCATCTTTCTATCAACTTGTTTAGGCTGTGGAGCTTGCGCGTCTTACCCCCGCAACACGGCATTTCATGAGGCATGTCGAGGATCTGTTGTGTGTCCAATGTCCTAGCCGCCAGCCTTTGCTCAGATCTACGCGTGGAACGATGCGGGAAAGCCAAAGATGCACTTCGCAGCAGCAGACCTATAAGAATCTAAGGAAGCGGCGTTCTCCATAAACAGACCGCCAAGCAAGGCTAAGCTCGGCAAAGCCCAGCGCAAGATCTGAACACCTTTCAAATAACTGGAGCGGCTTACGCTTCATTCTTCCCAACGAATCATTGCCGCATGTGATGTTACGCGTAGTGCTGCAAGCAACATATGCTGAAATACACTGTGCAAACACTTAAGGACCGACTCCAAAAAAACCCAAAAAACAACCATTCATGGTTGGCCTTCTTTGCTAAGACGACCATGAAGAACGGATGGCGACGTTCCTAACGTGCCAAGACTCTTGCCGAAGAAGCCGACACCATAAACCGATGAAGCGCTGAGTGTGCGACCATCAGGCTGACCAGTCTCTCCAAGTCCAGAACCTGTATTCCGCATCAAAAAGTCTCGCGCGTGTCATGCGGAATCTTGAAGGCCGCGGCTGACGTGGCCATCCGGGTTCAACAGGGCGGAAGGCCTGTAAGGGTCTGTCTCGGTGATTCGGAGCTCTGTTCTGTAACAGCCTCATGATGCTCATTCTATATAGCTTAATGCTCCAGCACGTGCGCCAACGCAATAAATTACTCTCGAAGGCGCATGACTACTTTGAAGGTTTATGATTACTTATTTCTAGGAAAATCAATAATATAGAATATTTGATTCTTTATATTTTAAATAAATGTTAAGTCCTTTTCTTAATGTAAAGCCCCCTCGAAAATGCAAAATCGTATTGCACTGTAAACACGAAAAGGCCATTCTAGGCATCCTGAAGTAGAGTAATCTGGCGGCAACACATTGAAAAACTTCCCGCCCAAAAAAGTATGCCAACCCGGATTCCGCACGGAAACCCATCCCTGCGACCTCCCCCACTTCCTCCCTCCCCTCCCTTCCGCCCCTCCCTCTGAAATGGAGTGCTGCCCTCCAACTCCACCTTCGGTTTTCAGTGATAGAGTGACACAGAAATTCACGCTTCAGCTGACATGACCCCGCAGGGTATCAGTGTCATTCATTCATCAAATGACATAATGACCTCAAGAACTCGCAGTGCAAGGCGATGATGATGCGTAGTACCACATGGCACTTGCAGGTACATGCCGAGGGCGAATCTGCCCAATCTGCCCTTCCCCGGTTTGCAACAGGTGCTGCTAGTTTGTAAGGATTTGTCAGAAGAACAATGCAGAATCTAGACTTTATTGAGAGACTTTCCTCACGATACTATTTTTCTGAAGGGCAAGCTTGTATAGGACACACTACATGTTTGTTCTGTAACAATGTCCATTGTTTAGTTTATGAAATGACCCTTTAAAATTCCTAGCCTTCCTCCTCATGTGCTAATCTGAGGGGCAGGTGTAACCAAACATTCGCTTCCTTTAACATGGGTAGATTTTGTCTTGGAATGTTCTGGGGCACTTGCAGGGTCCATTGCTGAACACCTATATACTCCTTAAGCTCAAGGGCTCATACTTCGGAACCTTGTAGAAAAGGTAAGGGACCATATTAAAGGACCATGTAACTACCTTTAGAAATGTACTCTTAAACAGATTGGGCCTTTCCTCCTCACAAATATGGCTAATCTGTTGAACTTCTCCCGAGTATATAGCACCGCGCCCTGAAATGTTGAAGAACTACTTTTGTATAAACTATAATTATTATTTGTATACTGGCAGTGTGCAACAATGAAGGATAGCAGATCTGGCACACATTTGTTGGTGAGTGCAATATGTAGTATATGCAATAACGAAGGACAGCTACTGGCAAAATGGAATTGTGGAAATTTGGAAATTTGGAATGAGCCTAAAGAAGCTCGGCCGCATGTACGTTAGTCTCCGTGTGCTTAATGGGTTGATTCGAGACCGTATTGCAGCCTACTTCTTGAAACAGCGCCATAAACCAATAATGCTTTCTGATAGCTGCTCGGTCTCTGTCCAACAAACATGTAGCTTCCCCGAATCGCAATAATGTACATATTGCTCGAATTTCTAATTTCAAGGTCAGAAGCCGGAGAGCCCAAGTCAGGCGTTCCAAGGACAGCGTAGGTTCCTCCCTGGCTAGTTGTGTCCGTGTTGCTACAAAAGTTGACCCTGAGACAAGACAATAGGGCCCCTACGGCATATCACAGCATAATACGTGTGTATACATTATATATATATATATAGATATTATATATTATATATATATAGTATATAGTACACCTACGACTGAGTCACTCATGCAAACAAATCTCGGCCCCAGCCTCGCTGCGTGCATCCGGCCGCTCCATGACATTTCATAGAACGGGGGGGGGGGGCCGTTACGTGGCACTTTTTTGCTTCTATCACTTACGTAGCACTTACATGCTTTTTGTACCTCCTTTGCACCTCCTTTTTGCTCAATCTTGCGCAGCTGCTTTGCGCAACTGCCTGTCCTGACAAGGCTACTGATTCCACACTGCCCTCATGCTGGTGTGACGTAGTGCTCGACTGAACAACATTGTGGAACGAGCTCTGCAGGGCATGCCGAAGCCAGCTGCTCATGTACGAATATGCGGAGCATGAAATCTCTGATACTGCCTCTGCGTACTAGAAGCACGTGTGAGATGGGACCAAACCCTTTCAACCCTTGCGCCTCTCGCGCGACCTTCGCAGTCCTCTTCGCAAGCTGACGGGGGCGGTCGAGCACTTAACCCTCTTGAAGGAGCTATCGCGTGCCAGCACGCCCGGGCCATGCACCTATCAAAATACAACTCCTGAACTTGCTCCTTCTCATAGAGTTGCAATACATGTTCATAGATGTATCAATCAAACAGCAGTCATACATTTGTCATAAATTGAGACGTCTGACTTATCATATGTTAGTCATATTTGCGAGATATTGGGAGGGTGTCTGCCGCCGCCCACGTGTCCAAATGACACTGATCTTACCTGTCTCGAATAGGCTCAACGCACACATAACGACCTATGACATGTTGGAGGGCTCATGTGGCCCACGGGGCTTCTGTACAAATGCAGCGTTTGCCCCTTCTGCTCATTTTCCTGTGGACAAGAAGTCCATCGGAAAATCGGTATTGCAAAACCTCACTCCTGACTCTAGAAGACGTAGTGCCTGAATAAGACACAGGGCAGCACAAGGCGTGAGAGCTAACGTTGCAACATCCGTTGTGCATCTGTCGACCCAGCAAGCAGAACCTGCCCCACCCCACGATGTTAACTTGTCGATCCACGATTCGGGGACAATTCTATCGCGCACTCTCCTCTTGCTGGCAGCCTTTGGCATCGCATGGCATCGCCATTTGGTGTTTGGGATGTGCACGAGCAAGTGGCATCAAGTGTAAGAGAATTGACACTTTGACAGTTGCACCTTCAGACCTTCAGAAATCTGTCACACCGTGAGAGCTCTCACCAAAATCGTACGCCGCTAACTATACCCCTCTGACGAAAGCAGAGAATCCTGAGCAGAAGAAGAGCGGCCTCTTCTGCATGGTCGGTCTGCCCGAAGCATTGCCACACACCCACGGAACAGCAACGACCTAAGAGAAAGAGAAATGCTTCCCTATTATTGTCCTCCGTCCTCCGTCACCCATCATGTTGAGATGCTACCGTATCGTCCCCTGATGATCCTGATCTGACTGGCGGCATAGATGCTGCAAGGCATCCTTGTGAATGCCCGTCAGCTGCTCCGTCCACTCGATATAGAAGCCGTCAAGGCACAAGTCCTGCAAACATCCTATCCAAGCTGCAAGCCTTAGTACTCATTAATTAGCACTCTCAATAGCCCTTAATGGTTGCATATGGTTGCCAAACCGCCACCCACATGACGAACTTCTGGGAAATGTCTGCCGAAGCCGGAGGCCTGAGGCGTTTGGATCCTGGTCTCTTAAAAGAACGTAAGACCCCTCCCATGCTCTTGCCTGCCCCACCCCCCCGTTCTCAGGCAACAGCTTCTCCTGACCCTTCTTTCTCTCTTCCCTCCCATGCTGCTCGTCCGGTTGTCAGGTAACAACCAGTCGCACGACTCCCCACCGGCAGCCCACCCCTGCTCCTTTCTCCCCCTGCTATGCCCGCCCCCCACCCCATCTTTAGGCCCTTTCGCCCACTTTGCCATCATCGCTGATTTCGTAGCCTAGCAGGGCGCCATACTCTCGCCGAGGCGGCCTCGCGCCTCGCGGACTGGGGGCACTGTGCGCGTTGATCGTGTTGCTACTATTGTTTTAAGCTGGTTTATGGAATGCCTACAGACGACCAAAATTACCATGATTCGCAAGCACCGCCCCTCACTCCTTTCGTTTCAAAAGCTGCATGGCCGTGTCCAGCCACGCAGAACTTCCAATATCAAGCACTTGATATCTTTGGTCTCTTCGATCGTCTTTTCGACGCTCTTCGAGGCGCTCTTCGAGGCGCTCTTCGAGGGGCTCTTCGAGGGGCTCTTCGAGGGGCTCTTCGAGGCGCTCTTCTTCAAGATCCGGCGGCGGCGCCTGCTCTGCCTGCGGCGCGACCGTCAGGAGGAAGAGCGCGGGGCGCTCCAAGCCGGGTCTAAGTCGCCGCTGCTCTTCGAAAGCAGTGGCGAAGCCCTTCAACTCCTCGAGCTCAAAAGACATGACCAGCGCGCATGCCTTGATGAGCTCCGGTCTTGAACCCAGGAAAGTGGCCACTGCCCTTCCGACACTGGGACCATCGGAGCCTTTCAGCTCGATCACTAGCTGGCACGATGCTGCAAGAGCAGTTTGCAGGACCTCGTCTAAGGAGGCCAGACGCGCATCTTGTTGGAGCAATGGCCAGCGCAAGAGATCTTCGGCGGTAGACTCTGCGATGTTTGGCGTGCCCGTCTTGGCTGTCACACGATCCAGCGTTGCATCGTGAAGCAGAATGATTTCGCCATCGGAACTTAGTCGCACATCACATTCGCAAAACTTAATTCCAGCCTCCCATGCCGACTTTAGCGCGGGCAATGTGCCTTGGATGGGGAAATGCGCACCGTGCATTACGAACAAGGCTTCCTAAGAGGGAAACGCGAAACAACACAACAAAGACACTCATAACTCATAACTTCTGTAGGGCCAAGTGCATTCCACAGGTCGATGCTCAAGCAGCTGTGGGGAATGAAAGCCTCTGTGCGCAACAAGACCTTCCTGCAGCTGAGCTGGGAGCTGTGGCAGGAGCTCGTTCAACCACGAAAGCTCCGAATCATGATGGGCCATCTTCACGGTGCGTGGCAGGGCCGCTTGGGCTGCTCAACCTCGACCCGAAACAGCTGCTCTAGACACGCTCCAGACTCGGAGGAGCACACCCAGTAGGCGGAGCAACGCTAACAAACAGGCACGGGCACTGCGTACTGCCTGAAACCAGTATCTGCAAGGACCACTCGTGAGCAGACCAAGCAAGTCGGGTAAGTACGTTTCTGTGTGCATGCATGCGGGCCTTTATCCACGCTGGATACGCCAACCGAGCAAGCACCACAGAAGGCGCAAGCAGAGTGTCTGCTTGAGAATCTTGACACAGCAAGCGGCTCTGACCCATCACGATCAACGTCAGTTGAATGGATGTGCAGGTTGCGTTGAAAACTGTATCTCATTTATGATCTGCAAGTGTTGGATGCAACACATAACCAAGTCACATGTGTTTAGACCACTGCATGACGCACACCTGCACTTGAATCTATGCGTCCGGCTCCTCAGCCGGAACGTTCGAGCGTTGAGGAGCCATATCAAGCACATTGTGGAATCTTCTGAACGTCGTGCCACTTGCTCTGCAACGCCCTCGAAGACTTCAACATGTATCCTTCGACGCAAGCTTTTGTTCAAAAGCCCGGGAGTCGTTGCCACACTCCTGCGGTTTTTTCCAAACTGCAGGATGCTGAGCTTCAAGAAGTGAAACACCGGAACCCCATCAGCATCAGCCCTCCATCCCGAACATCGCGGTGAACTCCTGCTGCTTGTGACTAGTTGGGTTCATGTCAGCTGCCTTGGAGTTGAACAGCCCTATCTGCATTTCTAAAAAAAGTGGGGGGGGGGGGCACCGGGGGGCACCGGGGGGCACTGGGGCACCGGGGGCATCGGGGGCACCGGGGGCACCGGGGGCACCTCATGGGACTTGAGGTCGCCGGGGCTGACGCTGGGGCGCACTTTTTCCAGAGCAACCTGGCCAGCACAACTTCACGTTCTGTGCATGTCTGTGCCATGCCTCAACAAGAATCTGTGAGTCGACACAGTCTACACATTGGGTCTCCAGAGTCTACACTCATAAAGGAACAAATCCAAGGGGATGATCAACGTCGGCTCCCACAGAGCCCTTAAAAGCGCAAGCGCTTTCGTGTTAGCTTCTGTACAACTCTTATCGCTTTACTCAGGGCTAAAACCTATCTTTGCTGTTCGAGTCTTATATAGTCTTATCGCTTACCTTCAATGATGCTTTCGCTCTTCAATCACGGCATGGCAAGCTTTTCGTCCTCCTCTTCAAGTGATGCGTTTGAGTCTTTTGACTGCTGCAAGAGCTATCTGTGGCTTCTCGAGATTGAGCATCGTGGGACCATGCCATGCAGGCCAGTGCTTGCAACAGTGCAGAGTTGGCGAAGATTTGGATGATGGAGACTGTGCAAGGTTGACTGCGCCTTTGATCAGACGGCCCCTGAAATGGGTCAACTCTGGTTTCTGCTTGCTGGGCCTGATGTCTGATGCTATGTTGCTCTCTTCTCTGAGTCTGATTGATCCCTGAATTCGCTGTTTCTGCAAATCTTTTGGGCTGGTCCGCTGCGCCGTAAATCACAATCATGCGCTATGCCAGGAAACGTCACCTAGTACCCCCATGCAGAAAACAATACAAACCTCCAAAGGCGCGGCCTCAAAATCGGATGCCTCGACGTCGGGCCTGGCCGCTGTTGCAGATTCCAAACCCTATATAACACAATAAACACCAACAGACAGAATCAATCGGGTCCGGCGAACGACAGCAGCTCGGCAGCTGGAACCTGCCAACACGCAGATTGCTCGACTTGATTATGGGCAGCCCCATGCAAACGCCTCGCCTCCATGAGGGTCATAGGCACGGCCCCAGGTTCTCCAGGACTGCAGGGTGTCCAGAAACTTCGTTTGCCTTCAGGGCCTCCGCGCATCTCTGAACTGGAAAACCGTGTGATTGGTGGCAACTGGGTGGCAGGGTTGGCAAAGTCGCTTTGGCATCACGCATGGTGCCATCCATGTTTTGCCATGAAGATTCGAGTTAACGGTGCTGTGCTGAAGGTACGACGGGTCCCAAAACCCTCGGCCGAAAAAGAGCAGACACTGTCGTAACTACTTTTGCCAGCTCAGGACATAGGAGGCGAATGCCGCTGATCGGGAGGCCTGGTCCTCTGTACCGGCACATGTTGCGACAAACAACTGGAAACGAGCACAACAAGTCCAGCAGCCGAAGTACTCTGCACTCACACACGAGAAGCACATTAGACACAGATGCAAGGGCACAGCGCACAACACACTTCAGAAACCCTATGCACAAACATGCATGTCTTTCACGCTTGTTTCATTTGTGTTTCTTGATGTTCCTCACTTAAATCTATTATGGCAAAAATCGGTGATTTAGAGCATTTTCCGCCGTGCGATCTTCAAATGTGAAATTGGCTGCGGTGTTGAATGCCCACCATGCTTTACGACGAGGCCACTTGAATGAATGCCCTGCGGTCGGACACAACCGGTTCGCGCAAAACATCTTGCTTTGATGCCGACATCTGCGGATTCGTGAAGACCAGCTTAGAGCAGCTTTCCAAGGCACCATGCATTCACTTGCTCCGGCGTCAGGAGATGCAGGATTTTCAGTTTCCACAGAAGCGCAAGGACCGCAAGGAAGCGCAACACAGCGCACCTCTACCAAGCAACATGTGAAACAAATCCGATTTTCAGCATGGTCCGAATAGTCCAAATCAAACATTACAGGTTCTCGGAAACAACTCTTCTGCCCAATGCTGTATTGTCTTGTGGTGGCCTTGCATTGCTCTTTTGTAGGGGTATTGCCGGTATTGCCTTTGCCTGTTGACGGCACTTTCTGGCAGGTGCGAGGCAGGGGTCTCAGTCTTGAGCTTCGATCTTGTCAAGGTCTAACGGGACTCTAACCCTCGGGCGCAAAACTCTTGGCTATGTGTGGCCAGCAGTGCAACCAGGAGAAGCAACGCCACGGCCATCACTGCGTACTCAATGCACTCCAAACCATGTGAATCGGCAGTAAGAATCCTGGGAGACTGTCCAGCCTGTCTTCTCAACACGCTTGAAGGCTCTGGCACGCTGGCATTTCCGGACCGGCCTTGCGAGAAATCGCAATTCAGATGCCAAGCAGAAAGCAGAATACTGAAATGTCGACACCTGCTCCGAGTGTTCATTTCACCATTCTCGAGACCAAAAGCGCAACTTGGTTGTCACACATTAAGCAGCCGCAGCCGACTTGGCTGGTATCTGATCCCCTGGCTCAAAGTTTAAAACTTCTAGCCTCCTCATAATGAACAGAAAAAAGCAACCCAAGCAATTCGGTCCGTACCCTGCTCCCCGGCATGCGTTTCCATGTGTGTCAAGCCACTCGAACAGGGCATCCCTTGTCAGGATGGAGATGTCGGCGCCTTCCGGTCCCAAATTTATACACTACCACATCTCAATGAATCCCAATGATCCAACGCTCGTGACGTGAAATGCTGGCATTCGTAAGCTATACAAATGAGCTGAGCAAGTCAGCGGCCAGAAAGCTATCAGACGAGTTGCCGCTGTAACCCTCAGTCTGCGCAGCGATTCCTCTGATAGCCTGCCAGCCATTTGCTGTTTGTCACTTTGAATTGCCCTGCCATGCATGCCATGTTTGAAGTTCTTCCGCGCTGTCACTCCCGCAGCCGTTCTCAAAAAGGCCTCGGGGGTGCAGCTGTGTGGCGTGTCGCCTCGGCATTGCATGCCATATGTTAATTCGCGGGATAGTCTCAACGGTCAGGATACCCGTCTGCCTCCATGTCATAACGGCACAACAGAAAGTAGAACAACTGGCTAGGGAGGAGAAACTCTGAGGATGGCCTTTGTGTTAGTTAGACTGTAGTTTTTCGATAGTTCGCTTCAGCTGTAGACCGTAACTTTCCAACTTCAAGACCAAACCTGAAAGCCTTCAGCTCGGGCCGGTTACTGCCTTTATGAAGCAGTATTAAAATCCTGAAGCGGGTATCATTCCGGGGGTTTTCTTCGATGGAATGATTCCGCTTCGCGGACTTGGCTGGTGCACCGTTTACCCTTTTTGTGGAAACGCGATCGCCAAGCTGTTTCTGATCAACGTCTTGAAGGGAGCCAGGCAAAATCGGGTTGACTGTATACAAAGGTTTGTTGAGGCCTGAGTTCTTGTTTTGCAATTACGGCGTTCCATCTTGTTCGTGGCAAAACCTTAGGTTCCCCACAACAAGCTTGAAAAAGCCTTAAAACCGAAACCTCCTGCCTTCGCGCGCCAGACCGCGCCCAAGTTCTCAGTTTGTTCCGCCGACACTTCCGGGCAATTTCACGGCTTCTCGCCAGCAGGGTACACCATTTGCTTTCCCCAACCTCAGCAGCCCCTGAACTGCCCAACACTACCTGTCAGGGTTTGCCCATGACTTTTCTTTCGGGCACTAGTAACTAGTCACAGAAGCAGACCTACTGAAGAGGATAGAAAAGAAGAAAGCTAATAGAGGCTCGTCCAGACATGGTTACGCAATAAACCTTTTGGAGCGGGCTCTCTGTTTATATACAGAAAGGAAGAAGAAGCAATAGCGAGGTATCACACACACCAAGAGCTGTCGTGCGTCGTGCTGGCCTTTCGCGGAGTGTTGTCCTAGCACCGAGAATGAACATTCAAGCCCTGATCAACATCTTAAATCAGCAACCTCAAGAACTAGTGCAAGCAAGCACATTACAAGACCTTCTAGCGATGTTTCAAATTTACATGAAGATCTTATCGTCTTATAGTGTGCGCCAGACAAGCTGTGAAAAGTGGCTACTTACTTGAAAGCTGATCTTTAACTTCGTTGCATGGTTGAAAAGCGGGCATTCTGAGAGTTATACTGAGTTGTGAAGAGGGCATTTTGGTTGTAAAGCGGGCGTCCTGGTTGTGAGGGAGGTTTTACTTGACATGTCCGAGTACTTGACAGGCATCAGCAATTTAAGCAGCCCGCCCAAATGGAGTGTCAGCAGCCGCACCCGCGCCTCCATGTCCTCGGACTCCCAACCCTCTCTGCAATCTGTTACTCAATGTATCTCGGTGACTCTCAGTGTCACTAGCGCGGTGTTTGAGTCGGAGGCTGGCAGTGGAATGTATACCCGCTTTTCAAAGCGACGGCGGATTGCAGTGTCCAGGTCCTGCAAATGCACCATGGTCTCAAGTCAGATGAAGGTTTGGGCACATGTGGGCACGCTGTAGGGGAGCGCATGTTTCGGTCCCATGGAGTGTTCGTTGCTCCAAGGACCAGAATTTGCGAGCTGTCCTTTCCAACCTAAGCAGCTCCGCAGGGCACGGGCATTGGCATTATATAATCAAGAGGACCTTGGTCACACATTGAGAAGAAGGGGAACCGCCTGAACAACTGTGAAACTTGCGTCTCAGCAAGGGGCCCCATCCATCCTTGGTTTCACGCTTATGATTTTCCATGCGAGCTTGGAGGGAGGACCTGAACCTCCTTCGGAAAAACAAACAGTCGCTGTTGCTGCTCAGGGCTCTGTGCCAGGAACTCAGTCTTGATGCGTCGGGCCGCATCCGACTCTCCAGATTCACCACGAGCGCCACACAACGAGTCCACCTGCAGCCAGAAAGGCGGCTGCCCCGCTGGTGCTCAGAGCTGGACGAGACAGGTCTCTCCAAGTCATGCTTACTATTACGTGACATGCATGCACGTTTACCGGAAACAGAAATGGCTTGTCATATGTCCATCTCCTCCAGAGTCCAAAGAATCTATTCCAAAGTATCTCTTGTTGAGTTGCAAGGGGGCAGGGGGGGTACTAGCCTGATTACTGATTCCTGATAAGGATGACAAGGGGATGACAAGGGTCCCAGCATGTGCTATGAGGGATCATGGTCATGCTGCTTATGAGTACCGCTTTTCTGAATGCAGCTTCCTGAACTGAAAGTGAAGTTGCAGGGTTGTACGTCGCAATGGTTGCAAGATTCCTGCTTCGTTCATGCACTGACCTTCCGACCTTAGTTCCATCAGATTTCCTGGACCGGTTCGGGAACCCCCTGAGCAGGAACTTCTCAGGATTCACTGATGTCGTCATGACGTCCGTCACATGTTCCTGCTTCCTGAATGGCGCAGCACCGTTTTGCTTCAAACGATTGTTCACGTGTTCGGGTATTCGAGAGTAAACATACAGGATATGGGACCACTCCTGGAAGGCACGCGGAGATACGGAGTCTTGTTGTGAGGTAAGATTGTGTGTTGCAGCCGTTGCAGCCAGAGCATCTCGACATGAACGTGGCAGGAAGTCAAAAACAGGAACATGAAGAGATGCGTCATACATGAGGAGACATTGAGGCGGAGATCTGACAAAAAACTGCAACTTGCAACTGCAAAAGCTGCATTGATCATGACTGCACCCACCTCATCCACAAATATAATGGCCGGCTTGCTCTCCCGGGCCATTTCAAACAGACTTCGGACCTTCGACAGCTTTGAGTGTCTTTGGGGACTTGTCGGGTCATGTACGGGTGGGAATTTAGGGTTTAGGTTTAGGGTGTAGGGTTTAGGGTTTAGGGTTTAGGGTTTAGGGTTTTGGGTTTTGGGTTTCGGGTTTAGGGTTTCAGGTTTGGCGCCCCTACACACCCAGGGGGTGTTTTTTTTTTTTTTTTTGGGGGGGGGGGGGGGGGGGGGGCGGCATGTCATGCGAAGGCATGTATTTTCAATGCAGTCCAACAATTTTCATTGGTGTTGGCTTCTTTCCCCCCACCCGCTGTGAGCTTTCACAGGCCACCACCCAAACCACTACCTTTTCAGGGTTTAGGGCCGTCGCCCTCAATTCCCACCAGCTTCAAACTTTCCAGGAGGGCTAGAGGGCAAGGGATAAGGGGGGCCAGGTCCCTTGTTATTGTGAGGGATCTAGGCACCCTAGCATAGGGTGGGTACGGCCTAAGAATTTAGGGCTTCGGGTTTAGGGTTTAGGGTTTGCTGTGATAGGCCGTAAGTGCTGTGAAGGTTAGGTTTCGGAACAAGCTCGAAAGCTTCGTGAGGTGCGAAGAGCAGCTTTGGCCCGATTGTGGAGGGCCATCTAACACTTTTCTCCCGAGGCGGCAAAGCCAATTAAACCTATTCCTTTTAGGGTTTAGGATTAATTAAACTCAAGGCAACAGTCCACTTCTAAAAACTTATTCAGTTTCATGACGTTCGGGGTTGGGTCCGAGAATCAAAGGAATGGTCGGGGCCAGGGGCGAAAAGGACCAAAATTGAGAACAGAGCACCCGCCTGAGCCGGCTGGGCGGCGAAGGCTCCAGGGTGGGCTTGCGCCATCCAGGTCGAAGGGCTCAGCGCCGCCCCCCAACGTAGGGGGGCGGCCTAGGCCCTGAGTTTAGGGTTTTGGGTTTAGGGTTTAGGGTTAAGGGTTTAGGGCGTCTCGCCGCGCAGCGGCAGTAAGTACCATGGCGCCCCTACACACGCAGGGGGTGTGGGGTGGCATGTCACGCGAAGGCATTTTTTCTCTGCAGTCCAACAGTTTTCATTGGTGCTGGTTTCTTTCCCAGCACCCGCTGTGGGCCACCACCAAAACCACTGCCTTTTAGGGTTTAGGGCTGTCGCCCTCATTCCCACCATTGCTTCAAATTTTTTCAGGAGGACTAGGCGGGGGAGTGGAAGGGAGGAAGGGATGGCGGGCAGGGGCCAGGGCGGGGGCCGGGGGGGGGCCGGGGGGGGGGGACCCTAAATGAAAGATTCCGGCCCAGGCTTTACGGCATTCTCATCAAGAGGAGGATCGTGGGGGTTCCCCTTGTAAATATAAGGCACGGCTCAGCCCTAGGGGCTGTATTCGACCATTCTCCAATGGCACCACCCATTGTCCATCCAGGAAGGTGTGTTTGGCTGCCTGGTAGGGTTCTTGGTCCAGGCACCCTAGTATAGCACGGGTACGGCCTAAGCAAGCCGGGTGGGGGTTTAGGGTTTAGGGTTTAGGGTTTAGGGTTTAGGGTTTAGGGTTTAGGGTTTAGGGTTTAGGGTTTAGGGTTTAGGGTTTAGGGTTTAGGGTTTAGGGTTTAGGGTTTAGGGTTTAGGGTTTAGGGTTTAGGGTTTAGGGTTTAGGGTTTAGGGTTTAGGGTTTAGGGTTGGGTTTTGGGTTTATTATATACGATCTAAACCAATAAAGACCAATAGAAAACCAATAGAAACCAATAGAAAACCAATAAAGACCAATAGAAAACCAATAAAGACCACTAGGAAACCAATAAAAACCAATAGAAGACCAATAAAAACCAATAGCAAACCAACAAAAACCAATAGAAAACCAATAAAGACCAAGAAAACAAATAAAGACCAATGGAAAACCAATAAGAACAATAGAAAGCCAATAACAACCAATAGAAAACCAATAAACACCAATGAATACCAAGAGAAAACCAACAAAAAAACAGTAAAAACCAATAGAAAACCAATAAAGACCAATTGAAAACAAACAAAAACCAATAGAAAACCAATAAAGCACAATAGAAAACCAATAAAAACCAATGGAACACAAATAAAGAACAATAGAAAACCAATAAAAACCCATAAAGACCAATAAAAAAAAACAATAAAGACCAATAGAAACGAATAAAAACCAATAGAAAACCAATAAAGACCAATAGAAAACAAATAAAAACAAAACCAATAAAACCAATAAAGACCAATAGAAAACCAATAAAAAACAATAGGAAACCAATAAAGAGCACTAGAAAACCAATAAAAACCAAGAGAAAACCAACAAAAACCAATAGAAAACCAATAACACACCCAATAGAAAACAAATAAAAAACCAATAACAAACAACTAAAAAACCTCCTGAATCGCTTGGCTTCCTGAATCGCGATTTCCTGGATCGTGTGCAGCCGGTTTCCTGAATCGTGTAGCTTTCTGAGTCGCGGTTTCCTGAATCGCGCGAAGCCAGTTTCCTGAATCGCCTAGTTTCCTGAATCGCCCAGTTCCTGACCGCGGTTTCGTGAATCGCCCAGTTTTCTGAACCGCAGTTTCCTGAATAAGTTTCCTGAACCGCATCCAGTTTCTGAATCGGCCTTCCAATTTGCGAGATCACGCGCATGGCTGATTGTGGCCATGTTGGGCGCGCGCGGTGATCTCCACAGCCAGCTTCTCAATCGCGCGTCGTTCAGGGCCGAGCAATACTCCCCCCCCTCCTTACCCTCCCCCGTCACCTCTCCCGCGATTCAGTGGCATTTAACTGAGATCTTGGCGAGCTTCTCGCTCTCACCCATCCATTTGGAAACCTCAGGCAGTGGAGGCACAATGCGCGCAGGAAACGACCATGCGTGAGCACCAAAGCTTCCGGCTAAATCAGAAGATGAAATGCTAAAGAAGGTGGCATCTGCCTGCACCAGGTCGTCTTTGAACGCTCTGCACACACCGACATGTAATTTCAACGAGTTCCAGCTTCTGTATAGGTTGTCCCAAGCATGTTCACAGTGTGAAAGGCCTCCGTGGCACAGGCCTTTGCCAGAAAAGACTTCCTCAGTCCAAAAACGTCCAAAGCAGCTCTCATGCATGCTACATACACGACGTACGACTGCGCAATACTACATACCCAAGCGATAAGGCGAGCTAGCGAGTCGCCGTGCATGTGACCTGAACGACCGAGTCCTGGACCCCGTTCCAGGAGGTCCATAGAGAAGGATGCCGTGCCTAAGTGCTCACTGCATCACTTCCGCATTGCAAGTAGCCTGCGCCGGACTAGGCACCCCGCCACGGAACTCTTTTGCCAGTAAAGAGCTGCGGAAACCTACAACAAAACACGTGGCAGCCTGCAACAGTTGCCAACATGGCATATTGTGGCATGCACCTAGTGGGTAAAATCACGGTCTCCTGGAGGGCGCCCTTGGCTGCCTGGCATGAATCTGGGGACGTGGGGTACAAGTTCCGGCATGTTCGGGCACCTCCCAGCTCTCCCATCCTATCCAATCCCAAGGCCCTATCCTTGCCTCCAAGCCAGCGACGTCATCCCACCTGCATTCAGTTTGTTCAAACACACGAATGCCTTGCCAAACCCTTGCCAATGGAGCCATGTAGCTGCCATGTGCTTGAAAACCGCCTGATGTTAGGCTTGCTGGTCATGATGGCCCCTTCCAGCCCTTTCCTGCAAGATGGGCCAGCACATGCCAGCACTATCATATCTGCTGCAAGCTGCACATGAAAGCTGCAGAGCTTGACTGAGGCGGTGACTTGAGTTTCTCTTTTTCCTTGTCTTCCGCGTCTTCAGCGGTTCCTGGAAATTTGCGGGAATCGTGAGAGGCGCAATGATAATGATCCACACGTAGCCCCACGCAGACAATGACGAAAGAATTACAGAACATGGCAGCCTGTAGCAGGAGGTGCTTGCGTCGCGGCACCACCTCCGCCATAGCCTCCAGGAGACGTTGGGGCCTGGCGGAATGTCTAGAAAACCAGTCTGCATACACTGGGGCAGTATGTGCCAGTCGCCTGGGTGCCGTTTGCAGCTCGTGATTTGAGCGACTCGGCCTCAGGTCTACAATGAGTCTACAAGTCCACAGCATGGAAGGCTTGTCGGCTCACATGTTTTAATTTAAAAAACATTGCTTCAGTTTTTGTCCCTTGTTGCCCTGGCTCCAAACGATCCTGGCCCCTGACCCTGCTGATCAGGTCTTCCAGCCTTTCTCGCAGCATGTCCTTCAAGCTCAGAACGGACATGCAAAGGGAATAGAAATTCATCGCTCAAAGAGAATTGCAGAGACTTGCAGAGGCTTGCTTCTCTTTTTCGCAGGCCTACTCGTGGCGACTTATGGTACAGAAATCACCTGAATCGCGCACCAGCCTTGACCCGGGCATTTTGCTCCCACCTAAACGATGCAGAATTGTGGGTGCCACAATTTGCCAGAACAGGCCGCTAGTCCTAGTGGACCTGCCACACCTGGGGCGCCCACTTCCATACAAACTGATAAATCTGCAAGCAATTCTGGTACTCGCGAAGGGCATCCTGAAAGTGCTGAGTAACTGCGACGTGGCCTCCCCATCCTTCCATAGCCTTCCCGAATCCCAGCCTGGCCTGCAGCTGGCCCTGTCCTTCCAGCTCGCGTGCCTGCACAAAGAAAGTTCCTCACCGATCTGGTGCCCTACAGTGTCCGTATGTGGACTCCTTGGGACTCAAACGATGTGACGTGACTTGACAAATGTGACAAGCGCTTTCAAGCATACTTTGTTCTTTCCAAGCAGCACGAATCTGCACATTCCAAGCCGCTTTGGCGGCATGACACTGCAAATGTACCTAGCAATGCTGCATTCTCCGCTGGCCATATCTGGCCAAAGCTGAATGGAAAATGTTGAAGGCGCGTGAGCGAATATACCACGAGTTGGCATGGCCATGGTCTTGCATGGGCTCGCAAAAATCCGTGACACACTGAGCTGCGCTCAGGATATATCTGTAGATAAAAAAGCGGGCCCCCCCAGCATTCTAGCGATAAGATGCGGCTGAAGTGAGCGACTTGGAAGTTGCATTAAGCATTCGACACGCACGCTTTAAAAAGTTGCTCGCGGAGTCTAGATGAGTCAAGGACCCGTAGCATAGCCCAAACGTCATGCAGTTTTGCAGACGTTTGGTCCCAAGAGTTGGGGAATGTTTGGGGAAATCGAGGGCTCTGCGGGCTTAGCCCAGCGGAGCAGATGGAAGCGAAATCTCCATACCAATGTCACCCACTTCAGGCTCAAGCATTTCTGGCCTGCACCACGGCCGTGATATTGTGTTTGCTTTGCGAACCCCGGCTGAGAGCGAAGCCTGCTCTCGAACGGCGGCCCATCTTGCAACGCCAAAGCTCCGGGCTTTTTGTCCTGGAGCTTCGTGCTGATCGTGAGCCGCTGTCAGAAAGACAGAACTTTCGGCAGCACGAAATCCTCATCCGCAGAGTCTCGCCTCCTAAAGGAAACAGCTCTCATTGGCATCAGGAAGACGATGCAAGCAACACACTGTCTGTGCCTGTCTTGTTCCAGGATGCTGCCCTGCTTGCGCAGCTGCTGGAGGTGTTCCTGGCTGCACAGTAGACACAGCAATGGACTCAAGAAAAAAGCACGAGAAAGTGCCACTTGCCTCGTACGTCGGCTTGTACTTTCGATGTTGTTTCCTGAGGCACACGTCTCATTTGAAGACCCTGCAGAGATAAAGCCAGTACATGCCAGTACCATACTAAAAAGCCAGTGCTAAGCAGCACCAAAGTTGAAAGTGTCCACAACTAACAAGCAGGTTCCTTGTGACATGTAGTTACAGTCGCGAATCCTTGCAGAGACTCAACTGCCGATTCTGCTGCATTGAAAATTTCATGATGCAGCTGCTAATCTGCTAATCATCAGATGTAGCAGATGTAGCAGATGTGGCGTGTGGCGTGCCATCTTGTAGCAAACAAGCTCCCCGGGGCCGTTGAGTTGGGGCCTTTCATGAGCCTTTGCCTCCACTTCGGTCACTGCCCATGGCTCTGAGGGTTTGAGGGTTTAGGCCAGTCTCGCGCATCACATGGGAGACACGCAGATTTGCTTTGCACATCATTGCACATCTGTTCCGGTGCCTGGCTTCGTCCATGATCGTCTTGTAAAATGCTTGCCCTGGTCGGGAGCCCGCATGAGCCCGCATGAGCCCGCGTCGGAGTGTAAATTGGTGACCGCAAACGACCCATTAAAAATACTGGCTCCTACCTGGAATTCGGACCCCCCCCCCCCCAAAAAAAATACATTAGAAGCTGGGGGTAGCTGGGGATCAGCAGGGAAAAGTAAATGTATTCAGGGGGGTTCTGCTACGTATGCTTTTTAAGAGCTTTGCTATCTATGTAGATGCCACTACCTTCAGACAGTTGCAAATACAGGAGTCTCGAAGGATTACTAACCCCAAAAAGAATGTATTCCCCGGGCCCGGGCCAGGTTGGACCCCCCTGAATACATTATCCTTCCCTTTCCTCCCCTGTCTATCTAGCCAAGCTTTAGAACATGCGAAGCTGCATAGAGCTTCGAAGGCAAGGCCTCTTCAGGTAGGTTCGGAGTTGTTCGAAGCCAGCGAGGCTAAACAAGATTGACATATGGTGACATGCCATATTTTCAAACCGCTTAAACCTAGTATACAAACTAGATGAAAACACAGGAAACAAACGCCTTCAGAATACATTCCCCAACCATTGGGTAATGTATGGGGGGGTGGTACCTCCCCCCCCAGAATACATTAATTGGGAGCCCCCTTCATTAAAACATTGCAGACAGCAATCGCCAGGGGGGTTCCATTTCCTGCCTTTGGAGTCGAAGGTTTGTGCTATGTCTTCTTCCATGGCCTCGGCTCTCATGAGCGGATCCACGCAGTAACAGTAAACACACAACGACAACTGTAACACTTGCCATCTTGGCTCAATGCGACACCTGCCGGAAGTTTCCTGAGACAGGCCGGATACCAAAGACTTGTCGGAGGTGCCCTTGTACAGCCACCAATAGCCACCAATGACCCTCCTCCCCAACTAGACCAGATCCCGCTCTTTTGCATCCAGTTGTTCTTGTACATCCCTTCCCCGAAAACAGGCTGGATGCATCTGCGCACTTCGCAATGGCAAGCAGCAAGTATGGAGCTTGCAACTTCTGAAATACATGTGTAAATACCTCTCTGCACCAGACTTGATACGACTGCATTGCGTCGGCTTGCCTGATCCGCTCCTGCGTGCAAGAAGGCAGGATGGCATTTTAGCTTCGCAAGCAAACTAACACTGAAATGCTCCACGATTATACGATTGGAACTCCACAGCGTTTCGGCTCTCTAACCGACTCTAAGCCCTACATCCGCTCCATACAACTTGCCCTGAACAACACTCCTTGAGTTGCAGCAGCAGGTGCTTCCGCAAGAGAGGCAAGTAATCCGCGCCAAGTTTCTTAGCTCATGCTGCGTTGAAATCAATGCTCATGACAAATGATTTAAGGCGACTTCGCATCGCTCACACACGTTTCACACGTTTCGCGCAGGCACCAGGGGTCCAGCTTTGATGTTGTCTGAGGCGATGTGAAACACCTGCGAGAAGATCCAACACGATGCGAGAAGCTGCTTTTCGGGATTCAGGGCAATTCAGGGAGGCTCAACGGTGCCAAGTTTACACACACATTTGTTTCCAACAAAATCAATGTCAAACCGGCAGTGACTGACCCACAGCACCCCTCCCCCCCCCCCCCCCCCCCCCCCCCCCCATCCGCTTACGCTGCCCCCGGCCCGTCGTCCTGTCTAAGCCCCAGCACGCCCAGAGCCCCGCTACCTGTCATGATGGCAAGCATTGTTGTAAAGCTACCCACTATGCTATGAATATGACGCGAATGGCTCGAGGCTTCGGCTTGCAATCTGACAACCATCTTCTTGCTGCAGGCTCAAACTTGAAGGGCTTTGACTTCATTGACTCCAACCCAGAAAGGCGTCCAGATGATTTCAAGCTTCAAACGGGCTTCAGCGTAGACGCCTAGAATCCAAAAAACTCAAGACCTCAAGAAGTTATGCTTGCGAAAGCGACGGTAGTGCTGAAGTAATCTCTTGTGCTGTCGCCGACCTTACGGCCCTGTTCAGGTAACCGCCTGCCAAACTAGCTCAAGGGGGTCTAGGTTCGAGCTTGAATGAGACAGCAGGCGACCGGCCTTTGGGCAAGCGCAGAGCAGGCAGCACTGAAGATAATCACTGGTTCCACATAGATCTCGAAAGTGGGCAGCCGCTTCGAGAAGCCGCCATTCAAACTGACTTCTAAGTGGTTTGTTCCCCGCATCATTATGTGAGGTTCTTGGTTTTTTGGCCCCCCAAAGCCGCCCACCCCACCCGCCCGCCCCCGGTCCGCCCGCCCGTGAAAGTTCGAACATACGCACGAGCACAATACGCACGAACACACGAACATATGTGACGTGCATGACATGTGGCGCCTCAAGAGCATGAATGAATTGCATGCATGCATGCATGCATGAATGAACAAAAGAATGAATGAAATAAAGAATGAATGAATGCAAAGAAAGAAAGAAATCAATGAAGCGGAATGAAGCGAAATGAAATGAAAAGAAAATGAAAATGAAGATGAAAATGAAGATGAATTGGAATGAAAACCGAGTTTGTCAAGCGGGCTTGGTCTATTTTTGTAGCAATCGTATGAGAACTGTTTCCAATGTTTGTCTCCCCGTTGAGCTAACAAAGTGAGATTTCTCTCGCCGTCTCACCATCCGCTCCAAGGCTTCGCAGCCTTTGCGGGCGCGCAGAAAATGCGCATACGGATCTGCCGTGCCTCGACAGGAGAAGCGGCCACCACCTAGGTCAGGTAGAGCCAGAGCCATTCAGAGCATAATGATCTGGAACTTGCATGTTTGTGTGACCTCTCGGCACAATACACGTTCGCAAAGAACACTTGTGCATCAACACACACGCCCATCGCACGCGCAAGCGCAGCCAGAGTGTCTTGCACATACACTGCCCGGCAACATCCAGCAACAGAATTATCCAAAGGCATCTGGAAGAGCAAGGAAAAGAAACGGTAGCCATGGTTCCAATATGTTCCAATCGCCCCCAAGTGGAGATGGCCGAAGGATCGGCATATCCGTCACGGCTGATGCGACATTGGAAGCAAATTTTGACTTTCTGTGCCTAGCCCCAAACCCGCAACCCAACACTGACGGAACAGCGCGAGGCCAAAACCTGCAAGGCCCTCAACTCCAAACAAACTCTAATACCTTCAGCCCTATGCCAATAATATTTAGAAACCTCTTGGTTTTCATATGCTTTCATCCCATATCACTGAATTATCCTGAATGGGTCCCTGCAGAGTGGACAAGATGAGGCTTGAACGCCTACACCCGTAACCTCTCAACCCTAAACCCGCAAGCCAAAGCCAAGGAATCAGCTCAGATGTCAACAAAACACACAGATAAACTGTGTCAAACCAGGTAGCCGGCACCTCCTGCTTGCCGACTTCTCACTGTTATTTACGTTTTCTGACTGTGCGCACAAAAAACTTAGGCCACATCTCAGGATACCTGTTGTCTGTGGGACTCCGGAAACCTGCTATCGAAAACGACGCGTCGGCGACACATATGCATAATTTGCAT